TTTTTCGAGACAGGGTTTCTCTGTGTAGCTTTGCGCCTTTCCTGGAGCTCACTTGGTAGCCCAGGCTGGCCTCGAACTCACAGCGATCCGCCTGGCTCTGCCTCCCGAGTGCTGGGATTAAAGGCGTGCGCCACCACCGCCCGGCCTCTCCAGCTCCTATTTTTTTAATAATTTTTAAATTTTTTGTTTGTTTGTTTGTTTTTCGAGACATGGTTTCTCTGTGTAGCTTTGCTCCTTTCCTGGAACTCACTCTGTAGCCCAGGCTGGCCTTGAACTCACAAAGATCCACCTGCCTCTCCCTCCCGAGTGCTGGGATTAAAGGTGTGTGTTGCCATCACCGGCCAGCCCACCCCTCTTTTTTAAGCTAAAGACTTATTTTATTTTTAATTACATGTATTTGTGTGGGTATGTGCAATTGAGTGCAAATATACTCAGAAGAGGGCGTCAGATCCCCTGTATCTGGAGTTACAGGTGGTTGTGAGCCACCATATGGGTGTTGGGAACTGAACTCAAGTCCTCTGCAAGATCAGCCAGTGCTTTAACCACTGAGCCATCCCTCCACCCCCTCTGCCCCCTTTAAATATCTGTCACTCATTCTTTGGAGATTTAGTGCTTTTATTTAATGTATTTTGGTCACACCAATCACCATTATCTTCCTCCAGACTCCCCCACGGCCCTTTCTCTGTCCCCTTCCTGACTCCCTGTCCTCCTTTTCATTACTGCTATTAATAATCCGAGTCCACTTGGTGCCAGCCATGCGCATGTGGGTGTGGAGCTGTCTCTAGGGTCATTCTTCCCTTTTATATACACAGCCCACCATCACGGGCTCAGGAATTGTGGCTTCCGGCATCCCCTTCCTAAAATTAACTTACACTAGCTTACAAGAGGGAAGTCTCCTATGTGGTTGGCTCCTTCAGTGCTCATGGATATTAGTAGAGGTGAATGCTAACTCAGATCTGCACCATATAAATGACGTCTGTGAAGCTGCTGTAAACTTAGGGTGCTGGCCTTTTCTATATCCCGTAGCAAAACCCATCTGGCAATGGCTGGGATGGTGGGACTGCCTGTGGCTCTCCTGATTCTGGGAGGCTCCTTTCTCTACTGGCGTGGACGCAGGATTCAGAATAAAAGGGCTATGAGGCGCTACTTGGAACGGGGTGAGGTGAGTATCAGCTTCACTTTGGGGGCACCCTTACAATCTGAGGGTAAGCAGTAGGATGGCTTACCCTCTTCTCTTTCCCTGGAATTTAGTCCCTTTCCTTAAGGGGACAATGTAGAGTGATGGAGACAGCTTAGAATGCTTGCTTAACATGTGCAAGGACCTGGGTTCAATTCCAGAAACATGCATGTACACACGAGTCCACACCAGAAGTGGGAACGTGTATTCTCATCTTGCTTTTGCCATTTGCTCTGCTTCTGAAGAAACCTCAGTTTAAGTAACTTAGATCTAAACAATAGTCATACTTCCGGGCTGATGGGTAAAGTGACCTGTGGAAGAGCTTTGAAAAGCTCCATCAGACATTTTGGTACATGGCAATAACTCCAGCCCTTAGAAGGCTGAGGCGGGGCCAGACCTACACAGCAAGCCCTCCTCTTCGTGAGAGGAGACAGGGACGGAAAGCCAGACCTAGCCTCGTGGGGTAGGTGGAGCATGACCATGGCTCCTCTCCTCATGCGGCTCAGAGGAGAACCAGCCCTCTAGGTCCTTCTCATCAGTCCCGGTGTTCCCGAAGGGCTTGCTGTTCCTTGGCTATGATTCTTCCCAGGACTAAAGACTGTTTCTTCCTGCCCTCTGCTCTGGGCTCTGCCGCCCTCAGAACCCACCTATGGGGAGTAGGTGGGACTGGGATTGTGGGAGTAGGCTTTTCTGAGCACCTCCTTCCTGTCTGCACCTCAGAGCATCGAGCCTCTGGACCCCAGCGAGAAAGCAAACAAAGTCTTGGCCAGAATCTTCAAAGAGACAGAGCTGAGGAAGCTTAAAGTGTTGGGCTCTGGTGTCTTTGGAACTGTGCACAAGGTGAGGAACTCACAGGAAGTCTGCAGAAGTGGCGAAAAGATGGAGGGGAAAATGGGAGAAGAGTTTCGGCAGAAGACTGACAGGAAAAGAATTATTTTGTACTCCATGTCCACCCCAACCTTTCTAGGGGGTTTGGATCCCTGAGGGTGAATCCATCAAGATTCCAGTCTGCATTAAAGTCATCGAGGACAAGAGTGGGCGCCAAAGTTTTCAATCTGTGACTGATGTAAGTGAAAGGCAGTTCCGTCTGCCGCCAGAAGAGAGGCAGTGTTGGGTCCAGGCATGTAGACATATGATCCTGTGTTGGCAGATAGTGTGTTCGGTCCCCGCTAGGCATGTTAGAGGGAATCTGGGTTGGGTGTGCTTTTCGTGGAGTGTATGTGAACACGTTACTCCCTGGCTAATACCTCTTATGTTTTGCAGCATATGCTGGCCATCGGTAGCCTAGACCATGCCCACATCGTACGGCTTCTGGGACTATGCCCGGGGTCGTCTCTGCAGCTTGTCACACAATACTTGCCTCTGGGCTCCCTCCTTGACTATGTGAGACAGCACCGTGGGGCGCTGGGGCCCCAGCTGCTGCTCAACTGGGGAGTACAGATCGCCAAGGTGAGGGGTCTGGGGGAGGCCCACGACAGCACCTGCTGGACCGGGGAAAGCCAGGGCAGAGGCGGGAGATCCCGGGTCGGAGGTTCTGAGGATGGAGGAGGCCAACGACAGCACCTGCTGGACCGGGGAAAGCCAGGGCAGAGGAGGGAGACCCCGGGTCGGAGGTCCTGAGGATGGAGGAGGCCCAGGACAGCACCTGCTGGACCGGGGAAAGCCAGGGCAGAGGCGGGAGATCCCGGGTCGGAGGTGCTGAGGACAGTCTTCAGGGTTTGGGCAGCTCCTGTGGCTCAGTGACTGGCCCCCTCCCCGTCTAGGGTATGTATTACCTGGAGGAACACAGTATGGTGCACAGGGACCTCGCTCTCCGGAATGTGCTGCTCAAGTCACCTAGTCAGGTCCAGGTGGCAGATTTTGGTGTGGCTGACCTGTTGCCACCGGAAGACAAGCAGTTACTATACAGTGAGGCCAAGGTAAGGTGACAGACGGACGGGGGGTGCGGTGGTCAGGCGGGGTGAGCATGCATACAGTAACCAGGGGCTCTCTCTGAGATGAGTAGGCGAGTCAGGGTCAATTCGGGGAGTAGAAATCAAAGGACGACAGAAAACCTGGGGTTTTAAGACAATAAGAGAATTTGTGAAGATTAACTGGTAGCACCTTTAATTTTAATCTTCAGACTCCAATTAAGTGGATGGCCCTTGAGTGTATCCACTTTGGGAAATACACACACCAGAGTGATGTCTGGAGTTACGGTGAGCACACCCTGCTGCCCCCCCCCCATCACCAGCCCAAGTCCCCCACTGTCCTTCGTGTCTCCTCATCTTAGCAACTATCCGCCTAGCTAACTAAAGCAAAGGCTACCTTCCCTTTACTACTTTTAAATGGACTGTGTCTGTTTCTCATACTCACTAGTTAATTTCTTTCTCTGTCAGGGGTTACGGTGTGGGAGTTGATGACTTTCGGGGCAGAGCCCTATGCGGGGCTGAGACTCGCTGAAATCCCAGACCTGCTGGAGAAGGGCGAGCGGTTAGCGCAGCCCCAGATCTGCACCATTGACGTCTACATGGTCATGGTCAAGTGTGAGTTGTCTGCTGACCCCTGGTCTGACTCCCCCGCTTTCTCCTCCACGGCTCTATCCCCTTCTGACTCCGCCCTCTACGTCTCATCCCCAGGTTGGATGATTGATGAGAATATTCGCCCGACCTTTAAAGAACTAGCCAATGAGTTCACCAGGATGGCCCGTGACCCACCACGATATCTGGTCATAAAGAGAGAGAGCGGGCCTGGAGTGCCTCCTGGGGCAGAGCCCTCCGCGCTGACGAACAAAGAGCTGGAGGAAGTCGAGCTGGAGCCTGAACTGGACCTAGACCTAGACCTGGAGGCAGAGGACGACAGCCTGGCGACCACACTGGGTTCTGCCCTCAGCTTACCAGCGGGGACGCTTCCCCGGCCACGTGGGGTAGGATACCTTCTAACTGCAGGAGCTTCTGCTCCACGAACCCTCCTGAGCCCACTCAGAATCACCATTCATCAGCCTCCACGATAACTGATTTCTTCCTCCATTTTAACCCTTTCCTTTCCTTTCTCATCCTAGAGCCAGAGTCTTTTAAGTCCCTCATCTGGATACATGCCCATGAACCAGAGTAATCTCGGGGAGGCTTGTCTGGTAAGGTCTGCTGCCAGAGCTGGGGTGGCAGAGAGTCTTACGGGCTTGGAGGTGTTGATAGAAATGTGGAGGGAGACGCTTCAAGGCTTGAAGGTTAATCTACGTCCTGCGATAGAGAAGGCCCTGAACAACCACGCCTCCTTCTAAACCTGTTTAACTCTCCTTGCCCCTGTTACTTCCCTCCCCAGGATACTGCCGTTTTGGGGGGCAGTGAACAGTGCCCCCGTCCCATCTCTCTGCACCCAATCCCACGGGGCCGCCTGGCATCAGAGTCCTCAGAGGGCCACGTGACGGGCTCTGAGGCTGAACTCCAAGAAAAAGGATCGGTGTGCAGAAGCCGCAGCCGCAGCCGCAGCCCTCGGCCACGTGGAGACAGTGCCTACCACTCGCAGCGACACAGCCTGCTCACCCCTGTCACCCCGCTGTCCCCGCCAGGGGTAGGGGAAGAGGATGTCAATGGTTATGTCATGCCAGACACGCACCTCAGAGGTACCTGGCTCTTCCTCCGGCCTCTTCCTTAAAGCTTCTAATCTTTTTTCTCCAAGCTCCCCTTGACTCTTCCATCTTCTCTGATATCTCCTAGTCATTTATTTCCTAACTCACCCCCATTCCTTCTGGTTATTTCTCCGAAGTGCCATACATACTTACGATTTTTCTCAACCACAGGTACACCCTCCTCCCGGGAAGGTACCCTTTCTTCAGTAGGTCTCAGTTCCGTGCTGGGTACTGAAGAAGAAGATGAAGAGGAGGAGTATGAATACATGAACCGGAAGAGAAGGAGCAGCCCACCTCGGCCTCCGAGGCCTGGTTCCCTTGAGGAGCTGGGTTATGAGTACATGGATGTGGGCTCAGACCTCAGTGCCTCTCTGGGCAGTACTCAGAGTTGCCCACTCCATCCTATGGCCATCCTGCCCTCTGCGGGCACAACTCCAGATGAGGACTACGAGTACATGAACCGTAGGCGGGGCGTGGGGGGGGCCGGGGGGGATTATGCAGCCATGGAGGCCTGCCCAGCAGCTGAACAAGGGTATGAAGAGATGCGAGCTTTCCAGGGGCCTGGCCATCACGCCCCCCACGTTCGCTATGCCCGCCTCAAAACGCTGCGTAGTTTAGAAGCCACCGATTCTGCCTTCGACAACCCGGATTACTGGCATAGCAGACTTTTCCCCAAAGCCGACGCCCAGAGAACTTAACCTCTGCTCCTGAGACTCTCCGGGAGCATCTGATGGCAGCTGGTGCCTCTTGAGGGTACCCCTTCCTCGCCCCCCTCCTCCTCAGGGTCCCACTCCCATTTCTCCAGTCCTGGACAGTGCCCTCTAGTCTTTGGAGACTCGCAAACACATCCTTACACAATTCCGTGCTGTATAGCCAGTCAGCTGTGCACTTTCTTCTCGGCCCCGGCCCCAGGGAAGAGAAGGTTTTCCTGTTGGTCTGCTTTCCCAAGCCCGTTCCTCAGCTTCCTCAGGGAGACCCCCTGGAGATATGAAGGTCTGCTCTCTCTAAGCCCCTTTCTCTGGGGCTCTTACTTGTTAGACTTTGCTTTTGTTTCTCATCAGACTCTCCTAAGGAAGAGGAGATGAAACAGAGCTGAAAGAGGAAAGTGAAATTTTGGCTCATGAGACTCTTAATCCTATGCAAAGGTTGAGACGCTTAACAAAGGTAGGAGTAGATACCAATAACCATGAATCGAACGTTTACCATGAGCGAGGCATCGTCCAGCTGAACTCTGCCTGCGTGATCTCAGTTACAATCTACAATTTTTGTGAGGTAGAGCTGATCCCATTTTACCAATACAGGAGTGAGTCCTCTTGAGAGTTCCAAAATAGCCAATAGGTCCCTGAATCTCTGCATAGTACTGAATCCTAGTTTTTGTTGTTTGGTTTTGGTTTTGATTTTTCGAGAGAGACAGGGTTTCTCTGTGTTGTCCTGGCTGTCCTGGAGCTCAATCTGTAGACCAGGCTGGCCTCGAGTTCAGAGATCAGCCTGCCTCTGCTTCCTGAGTCCTGGGATTAAAGGCATGTGCCACCATCGCCCAGCCTAAAATTCTTTTTTAAAAAATATTTTAGTTGGTGTACAAAACTGAATGCTATAGTCTAGTGCCTTTTTACCTCTTACCTAAGAACTTTCCATCATGGCTGTAAATCTTGAAGTTTGAAGTACCACAGCAAAAGTAATCCTAATTTGTCTGTTTTTATAACTTCACGGAATTGCTATTATAAGATCTTACCATATGATTTTTTTCCCTCATATGAAGTCAAGAACTTTTACCTTTTCTCAAGTGGAAACCACTTCTCCTTGGCATGTCTGAGCTGCCAGCATGTTACTACTCTTGCATTCTGGGCCAATCTGTAGGTAAAATAAGGGTACTTGAATACGAGTACTATGATATCACTGTCAGTCAGTCTAATAACAAGTGGGTTATTAAGTGACTAATGGGCTATTAACTAATAACTAAGGTTATTTGGTATGGATGCACTAGGCAAAGAGATGATTCATCTACCAAGTGGGACAGAAAAGGATGGTTGTAATGGTGTGCAATTTAAATTTTAGGTACTATTTATTTCAGGAACTTGTCATGTAACATTTTCAGATTGTAGTTGATCACAGGTTACTAAAACTGTGGGCAGAAAAACCTCAGATAATGGGGGACTGAGCCTTGAAGAAATTAAGCAGCAGGTCCAGGATTCAAAATCTTGTAATTCCAGTGCTTGTACTTTTACTATAAGGCGTCAAGGAGTACCATGTCAAGCTCTGGTAAGGGGCGTGTGTGCGTGTGTGTGTGTGTGTGTGTGTGTGTGTGTGTGTGTGTG